AAAGATACTGTGACAGAACGCTGAAGACTGTGAGCGACACAAGGGACGCGTTCAAAAGGCAGATGTCTTGCAGCAGCGACAATATTTCTAGCACAATCTGTGCTAAGTGTGCTGACTTTATTTAAAATGTCCCACTGCTGTGCAACATGAATGAAATGTTCTGCGCACGTTTCAGCAAAATGTCTTCCTTGTGTCTTCATTACTGTCAAAGCATGTGAATGCAGTTTCCATTGTTCATCAATGTAATGCACAGTTACTCCGAGATAATTATGGTTACCCAGCGATGTCCTTTAGTCTCCGGTGAGGGCAACAGTTTGTGCACTTGTAATGCCGTTGCCTTTATAGTCCTCTCGTTTTCATACAGTTCATGTGTTTTTCTTACAATGGTGCGTCTTGGTGGAGGCTCATACGTGCAGTCATTCGTTGCGATCCGAATAACATTCTTCAAACCGACATCTTCCACAATACTAGTTGGCCTGCAATTTGTAGCTACCCACTTTGCAATGGCATTTGTTATCTTGTCTTTCTTTTGTTTCTCTGTAGTTCTCCCTCGTGCTGCATCTAACGTAGTCTGCCGAAGGTTTCCTCCACTGTTTTTTTGGGTGGATGATTTGTTAGCATCAACGGTGTGCATTGCATTTAAGGGATATTTCAAACTTGAAGTACTCCGATGATAAGAAAATTCCACTTTGCAGTGTTTACAAATAGCTTTAGTTCTATCTACTCCTTGTTGAAGAGGTTTAAAATAAAAGTGTCTGTTTAAAATTTCGGTACCTTTTTACATTTTTAAATATTTCTCAATTTACTTACTGCTTGTTGTTTGAGCATAAGCAATAACATAAATACACACGAAAGTTTCAATTCTTTTATGATTCGATTATTATCGAATTATAAATAATTAAATTATAATTCGATTATTACATAATTTTGAAACAATACAAAATAAATAAACAAAACTATAAATAAACATAAAAATACAAAATGCAAAATAACTTTTTTAATATATTAATACTAATATAAATTAATATAATAATAATTATAAGCAATAATAAGCAAAAAATATAAAATGAGAAACGAAAACTTTGACACACAGTTTCACAAAAGAAAAATAAAGTTAAGCTTGTGAATCTTAAAAAAAAAAATGAGCGGCAGAAACTCATAATGAACTCATTGTAAAGACTAATAGGTGGAAAAAAAAATTTCATAAAAACTTAGCAAAAAAATATATTTTTTTACAATAATAAAATCTGGAGATTAATTTTTTAATTTAAATTTAATAGTTCTGTAAACTAAAGATTGACAGGTCTGTTTTGATGAATTTTGTGCAGCCCTGTCACTTTTTAGTTTAATGAACTATTAAATTTAAATTAAAAAGTTTACTTTTCACTTTTTAGACTTTCAAAATAAAAAGTACGTTAATGCGCGATAAAATTATTGTCGGCGTTAATTAATTAATGCGTTAACGCGATAATAACGCGTTAACTTGCCCAGCCCTAATATATTTCATAAATTGTGAAATTGTCATTTAAAGAATCAATATAATCATTTTGTGTGTGTGTAGGTTTTACCATTTTTAACTGGTATTTTTTTATTTTGATTGGTATTTGGATAATAGTGATAGACCACTTTCTTTACATTTTCCTATTCATTAATAAATCATCATATAATATATGTTGGATATATAGTTGTATATTTATACAAATGTTGTTTTACAGTTTTGGCTTTTTATGGTTGTGATTGACTGATTTGAATTAAATTAAAAACTTCAGTTTTAATTGGTTCAGTTTTCAGTTTTTTCACTGGAAGCACAAATTATTAAGTGAATTAAAAAATAAATATAAATCATAATTACAAAAATAAATATCATTAAAAGTAAAAATTAAAAAAGAAGTAAAAAATATATATAAAAGACGGAAAACATAAATGATAAAGGAATAAAAGATAGAAATACAATTTTGCAAATCATTTTTTAAAATTAAATTGTTATTTTTCTAATGTCTTTAAATTTAATGTTCTGGTCTTTAAATTGAATCTATTTATTTTAATTTATGTGTTCTGTAAACAATGTTTATACCAGGAAGTTCTGTTTGTAAAAAATTGCTTTAACTCTTTTTTTATTTTTTTTTAGAAACGAAATAAAGTTAAGATTTTTATAATAATATTTATATGGAATGTAATCTGCAGACCACATATTTTATTTTATGTATGTTCAACTCATAACAGTTTCAGTATATAACATCATTGTGGATTTTTTTTTTTTTTAAGATATCAAATTTTTTTTTTGCCACATCAACAAATCATATTTATTTGTATAATCTTATAAATTTTTTTTGATACAATTAAAAATAAAATAATATATTTGGTTATAAGATTTTAGTAGCGAAACTTGTTTTTAACAGTTGTAAGTGTAAATCTTTATAATTATGTATAATTAGCTCTAACTTTATAAGTTAGAGCTAATTATACCAAACTTATTGTTCTTGCAGTCTTGCAGAATTAT